GTTCAATCCCCAGCACTAAAAAAGCAAATTTATGTCTGATAGGCAAGTATCCATGAAATAGTGGTCCATACCACTACCCAGATTGAATTGTTTACTACTATAGTGTCAATTATCTACTTTCCCACCTCTGTATTATATAAAGAAAGTGTACATATGTTCTTTGTTTTGTTTTTTTAATTTTTGAAGAGTATATGATGCTTAATGCTATAACTGTTTCTAAATAAGGTGTTATTTTAGTCAGATATTTCACTGCTATGACCAAAAGACCTGACAAGAATAATTAAAGAAAGAAAAGTTTACTTGAGAGTCATAGTTTCAGAAGTCTCAGTTCATAGATGTCTCCATTCCTTGGGGCTTGAGGTGAGACAGAACATCATGGTGGAATACTATAGCAGAGGAAAGCAGGTCAGGCCATGGCCACCCAGAGCGGGTGGGGTCGGGGGTGCAGAGAGAGAGAGAGTGGGGGGAGTGCTGCATTCAACAAGGTATATATTTTATATACCCCAGTGCCTGCCCCCATGGACCCGCCTCTTCCAGCCATTCCTTACCTGCCTACAGTTACCATCCAGTGACTTAACACATGGATTAGGTTAAGACTCTCATTACCCAATCATTTCAAACTCTAAACTTTCTTGCATTGTCTCACACATGAGCTTTCGGGGAACACTTCACAATTCAACTGTAACAGATGTCAATAATGTATACATCCTGCCCRTGTTGTATGCTAGGCAAAGGCATGATACTGAAAAAACATAATGCAATATTATATTGTATTACAGTTCCATGATTCCTGTATTATAGGCATTAAAATTTTAATTTGTTTTTCTATATAGGTGATTCTACCTGTGGGCAGAGGGCCATCTATCACAGTTTGGGATTGACTGGAATTCCTATAATCAATGTTAACAATAACTGTTCCACTGGTTCTACTGCTTTGTTTATGGCCCGGCAACTGATTCAGGGAGGTAAGAAGAGGTTATATGTCTAGTGTACTTGAATAAGTGTGGGACTATTTCCTGGTTAATCATTTCTCCATATTATCATTGCTTTATAATGTATTTCTTTAAAAAAGCTTTATTAAGACATAATTCACCCTTTTGACACATAAAATTCAGTGTTTTTCATTATATTTATAGAATTGTGCAGTCATCATCACTATCTAATTTTAGAACATTTTTATTACTCRAAAAGAAACCTTGARAATGGGCATGGTGCTACATACCTATAATCCCAGGTACTTGGGAAGATGAGAGGAGGATCGCAAATTGGAGACCARTCTTGGCAATTTAGTGAGGTCCTTCTCAAAAAATATAAAGGGCTGAGGACAAGTTAGAGTGCTTGTCTTGTATGTGTAAGGGCCTAGGTTCAATCCCTAGAACA